TTCAATTTATTTTTAAAAGCCCTTTCTGGAGGTTCAAAAATCAGATTTTCATTTTGCTGCACATCTATCCTCACATAGGTATAGACTAAGTAGAAAAAAAAATCAGTTTTCTTTTATTTACTTTATTATGTAAGTCTATTCTTCACTTTTCTCTTAGATGATAATAGCTCATCTGATTAAAACACCTAGAAACACTGCAGTGACATCGCATGCTGGGCTATGGGTCATAGTTTGATAATTGCTTACAGTTTCATTGAACTCATACACACTGAAATTCAAATATATTATTCCTAAAGGTTAACCCACTTTACCGACTAAGGGACCTTGCTCATGCCTATGACCTGGAGTATTCCTATTTCCCTTCTCTCCGACTGTAAATTATTAACATTCTACATAACTTGACCCCAGCACCAATATATGGTAGACTCTAGAAGACACAATAATCAGTATGGGGAACAAAATGGGGTGGTAAATTTAAAGTTCTGTCAGGAATAAGAGGAACACAAATAGGATTTTGTAAATTCAGATGAGGAGGGAAATAAAGAAATAGAAAAGAAGGTGATATGTACAGATGGACAGAGACCACAACATTCAAAATTGTCTGAGTTTGGATTTTGCTTCCTTTTCTTTCTTTCAAACAAATAACAAAAAATAAACCCAAGTCTGCCCATAGCCCAATTCTAGTTAAAGAAAATATTTACAATTTTTCCTAGAGAAAAATCTTACTCTGATGCTTACTAAATTTTTAATGTCACCTGTGCATTTTGTTTACTAAGTCCAAATTTTCTTTGATTTTTACCCACCAAACCCATTTCTCTGTATTCCAAAGTGTTCAGTTGTCACAAACATAAGGACTATGCTGGTTCTGAGGAGAAAAAATAGACAAAGGTGGTCTTTGTACTCTGAGAAATTACATTCTTGGACAATCTTTGGAAAAAGACGCAATTAAAAGTCCTTCAAGGGTTTTATTTACATTCTCTTTGAGTTACCCATTGATTCATCTATATTTTTTAATTCCTAGAAATCACATTCCCTTCTATGAGAGACTATGGTTCTAGACTGCCACTCTCTATGTGGTAACTGGACACATGCTCTATTAAAGTTCCCCATCATAAACACAAAGGGAAGTCCACCTTACCAGCTAGCTTTTGTCCTCTGTCTTCCAGAACGTTGTGCTCATGTGAGAGTCACATCCACCATGCAGGAAATTTGAACACCTGAAACAAAAGATCACAGAATTTTACTGTTATAAAATATTTCAAAGTTTTTATCAGTGCCCTTCATATCATTATTTTAAATCCATTAGCTACTTAACTTCAGGTTACTGACTGGTAACTTGTCACTAGGTCACTAACTTCTTAGTATGCAAACTTAAAGCTTAATCACTGCCTCTCCTTTGGTGGCAGCTCTTTGGCTACCCCCCAAAATGCCACACCTAAAAGCAACTACTTAGAGACAGCAGAAACAATGCCTGTGTCAGTCTTCCTATATCTGAGACCAAAGTAAAAGATAGCAAGTTCCATTTGATTTTCAGTCCTCCCTAGTTAAGTGAGTTTGTGGTGGGTTACAAAGAAGTAACTATGGTCTGGGGATTCTTAATAAGTTACTAAACTTCTGTCCAAAATGCTGGTATCTCTGTCCAAAATAACACTCATCACTCTCTAGTGGGCAGTAGCAGAAGTCAAAATATAAACAGCAGAGTACCTTGAGACCTTGTTACGGAGGCATCTCATTTCCTAAGAACACTTGGGAAAACAAAGCTCACTAGCAACTGGGAAAAATCTCTGGGGTGAAAAGGATAATTTTCCTTTAGTGATGGGCCATGGTCCTATCGGAATCTATGCCACTCTCTGTCCATTTCTCTAGTGCCAGTAGAAGGGAACCAAAGGCCCGTGTCTTCTTATGAAGAGAATGAGAACAAGAGTTGTTGGGTAGGATTTGAGCAAAGATCCCTGCTCCTACACAGGGATGACAATTGAAGCCAGCTAAAAATCTCTCCAGGGAATCATCAATACTGTCTACAAATCTTCATATGAACT